CCCAGTAATTACACGTCTGAAGTCGCCATGTAGTCGATTGTTTGCTTGGCGGTTTGCGTCAAGGCGTTGTCGTGGTGAAGGAGGATCCTACTGCGAGGTCTTTTCTCCTGAACTTTTTCCAAGACAAGTGGTAAACAATTGTTAGTATACCACTCTCCAGTAACTGTTTTTCGATCCTCTAAAACAATTGTTGCGTAATGACCTGTCCTTCCGAAGAACGAGGCCACAATTTTTTCCCCCACGCTTCACCCTCTCTTGACTCTATCATACGCCGCACAACACTGATGTTTTCTTCAGTTGTCGCTGTAGAAGGCCGTCCCTCACGCAGATCATCGGTGAGATTAGTGCGACCACGTTTAAACTCATTAAACCAGTTGTTAATAATGGCACGAGAAGGGGCTTCATCATGAAAGGCCAATCGAAGTCTGTCATAACTTTCGAGTCTACACAATAATATTGGCAAAGAGTTCCATATGATTTTTTATTATATGTATAATTTACAAGTGGCCAATTCTCAAAACTTTCAGTGTCGCCCTCATATGTCGTGTCAAAGTATGTTTGGTAGGATAGATCTATTTGGTAGATCCTTGGAACGAAATAAAAGGGGCCGCGTTGATGCAACTTCGCCCACGGTTACATTAGTCCGCTACGCCTCTGATTGTAAGCTGTTATTTAAAAAAAAGTCCCGCAGGGATTCTTGCTGGTTCTTCCAAGGACAGAGGATTTTTTTCGAACCAGTGGTAATTAAGCAAAACAGTGAATTTCAATAAGTATTATTTACAATCGATATTGAATAAAAAAGTTTCTGTTTCTGTATAATTATGACGTGACGTGACTCGTGTATAATAGGTATAATAGGCACACGAATCACGAACTCATCCGAACGATGCACGATAATCCACGAACACTGAGCTTCGGCGCCACCGAAGGTTCGGCAGATTTTTTGCCGAAACCGAAACTATTACCAAAACTAGATTTTTTTGCCGAAACTTACCGAAACCGAAACCGAACCTTCGGTCGGTCACTAATTCTAAGGTATAGCTTGTCTAATAATCCTCCTAATGGTAAGTTGCGATGCAGTCGAAGATGGTAAAGCGCACTGACTTACGTGAAAAAATGGTAATTTACTCTTGCCTTGACGGCACTCACCTCGTAATCGTATGGGAAGTAAGATGATGGCAAGCTATTCCACTCCTTTGTTGTAACGCATGATGAGCGCACGAACTATGTAGCAAACCGTTAGGGTCGAATACGTGGGATGTAGACAAAATGGGCGGAGATTGGCAATTATAGTTATTTTACAAAGACGAGTCAAATTTTAAACTTAAGTTCAATTATAAAAATAATGATATACCGTTATTGCAGTTTTTGAAAATAAGAGTAAATAAGGCTTCTACTTTTATTTGAAATTATCTCGAATATGATTTATGGGCAACAATGGTTTTTGCCTACCGATCGACCATTCGAATGTGTGCGTGCGCAGTAAAATCAGATAAAATAATGCATTACCACGCATTTTGAATTTAAATTTAAATGATACGTGGTAGAGCCATGCTGCAGCTATATGGCTGTAGCACGAATGGCTCGGCTCGACCGGGGAAGGACCACGCTCTCACAGAATACCAGCGTTAAATGGCAGCTTGACACTGCTGTGTTTCATATAGTGAGTGAAGAGAACCGTAGAGCCGAAGACCCTTTTTACTGGAAACGAGGCATTCCACCTTAGTTCTCACGGGTGACAATGCATCTGCATTTTGATTCGTAATCGAAGATAGATGTCAGTGTCTATGGGCCACAGCAACCACTTATTATCAGGGAAATGTGTGCTCGTTTGTTACTCTTATTTTATATTTTTTTTAAAAGATAATAAGAACAGAATGTTCGAGAATTTTTTAAATTAATTTTTCTTCATTTGCATATATTATTTATTCTGAATCTTCCCTGCAAATTTGGCCGGTTATTGCAAAATAACCCTGTATATTTTTGTAGCCATGCAAGTCTAGATAGTTAGCTATTTACCATATTTTTTTCACCGCCGATTGATGATGTAAAACGGGTAAAATTGTAATTAAAATATCATTGGGAACCAAAGTCTGGTTCTAAGATAGCTCTCGTACTAAGCCGTTGCCAAACTGCCACAGTTCTCACATTATGAATTCCTGTTTCATAAGAATTTGCTTGTTAGTAATATATGAGTTATAACAATGTGCCTTGAAGTAAATACTCTCCAGAAAGTCAGAAGATTTTTGTGGATTTTCAGAAGTATGTATATCTACTAAATTAGTTGATGGATTTTTATACGTGTGTTATATAGGTATAAAATAAAGTTAAAGTTACAGCTTATTTACCTACGTCCACTGCTTGGCACAGGTCTCCTCTCATTTCTGAGAGGGTTTTTACGGCAAAGAAGTGTCCGTCGCACTGCTCCAATGAGTGTTGGTGAACTTTACATGTTTTCAAAATATAATTTTTTTCTTATTTCTCAGACATGCAGGTTTCCTCACAATGTTTTTCTTCACCATCGAGCACGTGGTAAATCAGCACTTAAAATTTCAAGTAACAATTTCATTGGTGCCGGCGGGAACCGAACCAGGTTTTATTTTATAGAATAAGGGTGACAAGCGGGAACACAGTCCATCTGATGGTAAGTGGTTGCTGTGGCCATGGATGTCTCAGATGGAATGCCTCGTTTCCAGTAAAAAGGGTGTCCGGTTCTCTACACTCACTGTACGAAATACAGCAGCTTTCAGCTGCTATTTTACGCTGGTATTCTGTGACAGCGTGGTCCTTCCCCGGTCGAGCCGACCCATACGTGCTACAACTATACTATTAATATAGCTGCAGCGTGGCTCTATCACGTATAAAACGTTGCTCGCGTACTGTGAAAGTTACAGCGAGCGCTAAACATCTGAGCTACCACGGCTCTTCATCCGTATAATATAAGTATGTATAATAATTATTAAACAACACGTCTACCATCAAAATATGTTAAATTTCAACGAACTATCCTGATAAATAATAAAAGGACGGATATCAATCGTTTTAGTTTATAAAATTGCATTAGAGTCAAATAAAAATGCTTAAGGAATAACATAATGACATAATAACATAATATGCAACGTTTGTTCTTTAGGTTTGTTCATAACTTTCATTTTAAAAACATTTTTATAAAATATCTTAGCGTTCTTTTGTGAAGACTTAAAAACTGACATAGTTAATAGACAAAAGTTCATGTACGTTGAAATTTTTTTAATATGTATTCATGAACCAAAATTTATCGAAGTTGCTGACAACCTACAAGTAACATGCACTCGACTCTCCGTTGTACATTGGGGCACGGTACAAAATGCAATATTGCTCGTTAAAACCACTTGACCGGGAGGTCTTACCGTTATACAGGCTGTTTTATTACAACCGAGACACTTTACGGAGCGAAGATTAAAATAACAGGGAGATATTTTTCAAGAATACTCACCTGCTACGCTTTACAAACTGTAATATAGCCCTAGATGGAAATATTGTTTTTTTCATGGCGAATGAAAACTAAATTGCGAAGTTAAGAGTAAAAATAACTAAGTATATATAAAACTAAAATTTGTATAAGAACTCAATAATCATCTTAGTTTCATTATTTATTAAATTTTAGTAATTTAAAGGTGAGATATTGTGGGTACAGTATTGTAGGTAGTAGGTATGTTTTATTATATATTATGTATATAATAAAAGATATTTAATATACCATTTAAGAGTTGAGCCGTGATAGTTTCGGGTCTAATTGCTTGCAGTGAATTACGGTGCCGACTCGGTCGCGACCTCTGACGGCATCAATAACATTATAAAGTTCAATTGTAATTTACCGCGTGCTCGGCGGTGAAGGTAGCCTGAGTTTTAAAATATTTCGAGGATATGTAAAGTCTTTCAACACCCACAGGAACAGCGCGGAGCTAAGTGTTCCATAGCTCTCTTTAAAATAAAAGGAAGGCTATCCTTATATATCAATGAGATGTTTAGAGACCATTACTATATTATAAAATTTGAATTTTATATTCATGTACAAGGAGGGAGGAAAACATAGTAGAAGCTGGGCAGTAGCATCTTCCTAGTAACAACTAAAAATAATACTTTAAAATTAAAAATTTTGTACGACCGACTTCAATATAAACTATTAAGAACAACTCAAAAACTATTGGTCAGACCTTGGTCAATTTTATATATGAGTCCACATGTGAAGCACTAGCTTTCAAATAAAAAAAGTATCATCGCAATCGGTTCACCCAGTAAAAAATTATGAGGTAACACACATAAAAAACATACAGTCGAATTGCGTTCCAGCTCCATTTAGAAGTCGGTAGAAAAAACTACGCTTGCCAACCGAAATGCAAATATCCCCCTTATGAGGCAATCTATGGAGGAGGCCTATGTTCAGCAGTGGATTTGAAAAGGCTGTAACGGTAACTCATGTACAATATGCCCAAGCACAATATTTAAATTTCTTAATTGGGTAAGATATTAGTGAAAAATGTTTGGTCAAAATTACGTGTGTAGTGAATAGATGAAACTGTTGCTATAATATCCTTAATCCGCTTATTTTAAAGTAGCGAGGAGACGTCTGCAGGGCACGTCTGAGTTCTTGTAGAGTACAACCGAGCTATTGCGAAAATATGAAGTGATGAAAATCGAATACGTGCAAAATTAAAAGATTATATGTAATTGCTTATTTTAGAAGAAGGAATAAAACTGGTGTTGACATTTCGAGAACATGTTATAGTCCCCAACATACATTGGGACAACAAAGTGGACCCTTTCATGCTTCAAAAACCCTCTCAGAAATGTAGAGTTGGTATGCTGTTGCTGTACTTCTTATTTATTTATTGGTTTATCATCTCTTAATTAGATCATCCTGTATTAACCTGACCTTTGTCGATCTTATAATCATAAATTAGGAGTCCATCGAAGTAAAAAAGGTAATTAAATTATTTGCACTAACCATATCTGAAGCCAGTTGCAACGGAAGCTCTAATACGACCGAGCCGCCTTTGACATAAAGTGTAATATATAATTATTTTCTATACTTTTTCCTTGTTACACATTAGTCATAAGTAAATGAAATTAAAGTCAGTTGTGTTTTATTTCCAGGATCTTATTGTATCAAATTATTTGTGACTAAAATTTACTGTTCGTTTTTACGTTCGTTCAATGGTACGTAAGTTTTTACTCATTTTTAATAACTATATTTCATTTATACTCCTAATATTATAGATTCTTACTTAAGTACGAGTACTTGCTCTTTATGAATTCAATAAAACCGGGCTCAGCTGTAATAAAAGTTGGATTACATGTGGATTATCGATCTATTTTCTAATTAAAACATCGTTTTAGCCACTATTAAGGCGGCAAATTTTATAATGCTTCTAACGATATTCATAATCCATGTGAAATTTGTGTGATTTTGTATTCTGATTTAAGCTGAATACTAAGATTATGTAGGGGAAATTGCGTTTTCAGTTTCGGAACTATTTAATCACTGATCTTGTGATATTTAAGCGTGGAAAATGTATCGATCGACTGTTTAGCAGCGAATGATGTAACTGGATTGATGAGTGAATTCTCGCATGTTATATTATCACAATGATTTACATTACATGAACAATTGAAAAATATATTAAATTTTTGATGTGAAATGACTGATGAAATTAAGTTTTTTTTTAAATGTAAAATAGCAAAGGAAGAATTTATTTGTTTATTTCTTTTAGTAGGAAGCATTAAGGTTATTAAATTAGAAAATTTAGAATGAGTAATCCAAAGCTGCCGCAAGTTTTTAGTGTTTTACAATTTTAGCTAAGTACGAAAGATGATACAATTAAAAGTTTTTTTTTATAGGAGAGGGGGCAAACGAGCATGTGGCTCACCTGATGTTAAGTGCCTACCGCCGCCCATGAAATATAAAGTTATATAAAGTTATAGAAAGTTCTAGAATTATATAAAGTTAAAGAATTTATATGAAGTTTAAGAATATAAAGTTATAAAAATATTATTAAAATTAATTAATTAATTAAATATTATTATTTATACATTATATAAAGTTCTAGAATTCATTTAAATATTCATCCAAATATTTTTTTTAAATAAATGTAATAGGTGATAAACGATCACACAGTCCATCTGATGGTAAGTGGTTGCTGTGGCCCATAGACATCTACATCTATCCTCGATTATGAATCAAAATGCAAATTCGTTGTCACCCGTGAGGACTAAGATGGAATGCCTCATTTCCAGTAAAATGGGATTCCGGTTTTCTACACTCACCATACGAAACACAGCACTGTCAAGCTGCTATTTTACGCTGGTATTCTGTGAGAGCGTGGTCCTTCCCCGGTCGAGCCGACCCATTCGTGCTACAACTATACTAGTAATATAGCTGCAGCATGGCTCTATCACTATTAAAACTATGATATTCGTGACGTTTCCTATAGTCGCCTATTACGACACCCACGGGAAGAATAATGTGGATTTTCTCACAGCAATTTCCAATACATTTAAAAAAATCTAAACAACACTGAACTCACAGATAAATTCGATATAGCTATAAATAATATGATTTTTTTACAGATGTTTATTGAAACCCTGTAATAATAAATACAATGTACATAACAAGTAATATTTTTTAAAATGTGCTTTCCTCCTATTGGGTTAAGATTTAAATTTAAAGTACTTCGAAGTTTATTATTAAAAAGAACGACTACGCGTGCGCAAAAGAAGTACAAGAAATTTGGCGGAAAGAAAATCGCCGCAAAGAAATTTAAGGTGACATGGCAAAGAAGACGTTAGGCTGGTAATGTATTTAAGCATTTTTAAACTAATCCAATATTAACCTACATTCTACTTCTTCTATATATGATACCGCACACCAGATAAGCATACAACAAGCGTTACAACAAACACTGTTCAGCATCCTCTATTACTTTTCCACATTTAGCTCTTGAAGAATTTGACACCGCATTGAGGGCTAATAATTTTCCGTTCACCAGATGTCGCTAGTTGGAACTGAAGTGACGTTTTTGAAGTCATCTTCATCATCGTCAAGTTCATCTTCTTTTGGCGCGTTTGCAAAAAATGACGAGAGTAAATTTTTTACGATGCGCGCGCACACCGACACCTAAAAACGACACCAAGAAGTTGTTACGATGCGCGCGCACACCGAAACCTAAAAGCGACAACTTCAGTTGGTAGTTGTCTGTCAACTGTCAAGTTTTCTCGAGAACTGATAACTATATTCGAGGTAGTTATTCAAATATATATGAATCTATAAAACGTGTTGTATTTTAGTGATTTTTGTTTTGTTACGCTAAAGAAGTATAACTTACATAAGTATATACACACGTTATTTTTTTGTTACACTGTCATTTAATTGAGAAGTTAGTTTTAAATAAAAGTTTATCAATTTCTAGAGTATTATATAATTACACAAAACAATGCCTCAATAGTTTGCTCTTTATTTTTTTGCTCAACTCATTATAATTTTTCTACATTTAGGAATATCCGTAGTTCGGTTTAATGATTTCTAATTTAATTAATATAAAATATAAATAATCTACCAGAAAGAAACATTAAACCTTATATTTTCTAACAAAAATAACTTCCCCGCTATGAAATCGGTGATATGTCGTCCTATAGGGAAGATTATGATTTCGATATGGCAATTATTACGATGAAATACGAAACAAAAACGTTACTGGCTTCGTTCATAAAATCTCAGTTATTGTGTTAGTGTTGCCAATTTCAAATACTCAATGATTTTTTAATGCTTTTAGCAGCGATTTCGTCTGCGTAGAATTTTAGAAAAACCCTCCAGATCTTTAGTAAACTTAACCAACTTGAACCCACTTTAATTAATATATAACCTAGAGCACCCCTCTAGAGCATTGCTCTCTGTTTGTGAAGTTTTATCGCTATTGGTTCAGCCATAGATTAGCATCTACAGCAGGGATGCCCGATTTTTTGTTTTGAATCGATCTTCTGGATCGTAATGGATCGTAACCTCGGGAATCGATTCATGATTTAATCATATTGCATTGAATCGATCTTATTCGATCTCGGAAAATCGTATCGTAATTTTATAAAAATAAAGAAAAGCACAATATGCATGCAAAATTATTTATTTTAACAATGCTTATTGTGGTATCCTGTAAGTTTTTCCAAATTATTATTTTTGAAAAGTATATTCCAGCTATCTATCTATATTTAAACTCTTCAAAGATATTAATTTTAACAGACGCACTGGATCCAGCCTATTACGGTTAATGTATTTCCAGCTAGAGAAAACAGCCGTTCTGAAGGGACCGAAGTTGCAACAATTGTCAGATACTTCAATGCCAAACAGTTGATTTGGTTGGCGGGGCCATATTAAAAAGTATTTTAATATAATAGTTTACGCTCACAGAACAGCTCAACTTTTCTATCGCAATAACACAAAGAATGAAAGATCAAAGACCGCTAACATAGGTACCCGATAATTAAATAAACAAAACAATGTCATACCTACCTTCATAATTCATACATTACCGCTTTTGATGTAACTCGAAACTACTCTCATTCAATGTGTAGATAGGTAATCTTACTTTGTTTTATTACTAAAACACTTTGTTTTATAACTAAATAACTTCTGTCCCAGTCTGTCTGTTAGTACATTACGGTTCGGTTGATGTTTAGGTTTAAATTTTTGATACGATTTTTTTCATATGATTGTATAGGCATACGATTCAATCTGGGTGAAGATCGCATTCTCTTGAATCTATTCAAAAATCGGTAGATTGTATGGCCATGAATTGATCTTCCAGAAAATCGATTCACAGTGGGCATCCCTAATCTACAGAAAGAGAGGCAGATTGACAGACAGACAGATAAAAAGACAAAAATATAAAAACACCTATACTTGTCTTAATGTCATACATATAACTACTCCTTCAGATCAATATCAGGAAGAGTTTTCAATAATCACTATTCTTTAATTATTTTCCTCTAAAAAGAGAATACTGGAATCTAGAACAAAAAAAACTCCAGATTAAGACGTACAGACAGAAAGATAGATTTACAGAAAGACAGGCAAAAATTAAAAAATGGTTTGGCATGTCTTAATATCATGACAATAACACCCGGAGCTGAATAGAAGTCATTTATTTCACTATCGCGGACAGAAACTTCAGTTTTATTTCTAATTAGTCAGCAAGCGTTGATGAGGTTAATGTTGCCGAGTAGCTACTTTCAATATATTGTGAAATTTGATTGGTTCAAGGTTAACAAAGAACACATTGCAAATCAGTCTTTCATTTCTAAATCTCGTTTCGTATGATTTATTTTAAATACACGGGCATTCTGTTTCTTCCAACATTTCGGAAGCTTATTATATATTAAAGGAGCCATGCAAAAAACACTTTTTCGCATCAATGCAGTTTTTGAGCTATGCAAACATAGAATAGTATCATCGAGTCTGTTGCGACTAACTACGTCTGATAAACGTGGAAATAAGGGCCCATTATATTTAACAAACGTGGCAATTTCTAAAACGTATAGACATGGTAATGTCAGTATTTAATATTTTATAAAATAGGGTTTCCAGCTATCAGTTGGTTCCAGTTTAAACATGGTCCTAATACATCGCTTGTGTGCTTTGAAAGGTAAGGTCCCCTTGTAAGTCAAATTGCCCCAGAAGATAATCCCGTATCTTAGATGCGATGAAACTAAGTCATGGTACGCTGTAAGCAACGCATTAATGTTAAGTATTTTAGCCAATTTATACAGCGCATATGTCGAGCTACTTATTTTTTTTACTAAGAATTTCTGTGTGTTCTTTCCAATTCAATTTCTTGTCAATCGTCACCCCGAGAAATTTGGCAGTGTTGACTTCTATAATTATTTTATTATTATATTGGATTAGTGGGAGTTGATTAACGTTGACTGAAATGCATTATAAAGTTTTATTCAGATTTATTTTTAAGTTATTATTATTTAGCCATTTTATTATTGATATAAGAGAATTATTAATTTCGTTATTATAGCTATCCTTATTATTGCATTGAATTGTTATGGTGCTGTCATCAGCAAAGAGTGTTACTGGTTGATCAACGGATTTAGGTAAGTCGTTTATGTATAACAAGAATAGTAGGGGGCCTAACACACTTCCCTGTGGTAGTCCATATTTAACTACTTGTTCATGCGATTGAAATATTTCTTCATATTTAGTTTTTATATTTATTGAGGCTATTTCAGTGATTTGCTTTCTGCCGTATAAATATCATTGTATTAGTTTTAGCACTTTACTTTGAACCCCATAGGCCTCCAGTTTATCCAACAAAATATCGCGTCCGGTATAATAGAATGCCTGAGTCATGTCACGAAAAACTGTACAGACAGGGTTGGTTTTATCAACGTTAGTTATAACTTTATATAAGAAATCATAGATTGCCATGTTTGTAGTTCGGTTTTCTCTGAATCCTTTTTGCTCGTTAACAAGTATGTTATTTTTTTTCAAGGTACTTCATACCTTAATAAATACTACTTAATTCCTTATAATTATTTTTCATAAATTTTGAAGATAATACTAATAAGCGTAATTGGTCTGTAACATTTCATGAATTCTCTATTCTCTTTTTTAAACAAGGGTTTTACGAACGATTTTTTAAGCCACCCGAAAAAATGCCAGTGCTTATGGTTAAATTAATGAGGTAACGTAAATGTGTACATATAAAAAAATTAAGGATAAATATATAGATGTTTATGGGCCACAGAATCCACTTATCATCAGGTGGACTGTGTGCTCGTTTGTCACCCTTATTCAATAAAAAAAAAGAACTATATATTTATAAATATACGGCACGTGTGCTGCCACGGTGATTATAATATTGTTGATTATAATATACCGATACTGAAAGTGTGATTATAATATACTCTTTGTCGTAAAAAAAGGATAGAAAGATGAAAATGAATAGATGTTAGAAGGTGCATTAAGGACAAATATTTCCTCCTGCCCGTAATATAATAAAAGAATTTTAGAAAAACAACGTACATTCAACCTCAAAGATGTCTAGCCCACAGAGTATTTTGATTAAACCCGAAATCTCGACGGGCATTGGCCGCGGCGGCCGCGAGCGCTTGAACTGATGGTTTTTTCGTCATAAGATAAAAATAATACCAAATTTGTGTTCTCAACATGACCTAAAAAAATAATAAGCCTTTTCAAGTATTAAAGGGTTTCATAATGGAACCTCTGTAAATATAGTGATTTAGTGTCATCTTTATGATTTCTTTTATCGAGCTAATTATTGTGATTCGTGTTTCTGACTTCACACAATCGCCGCAATAATTACATTTAAGTTCAAAAAGTACACACTGCAACGACAGTTAATTGTTGCTCCGTGCTCCGTGCTCCGTGGCGCAGTGGCTTAGCAATGAGTTGTTGCGCTGGGGGCCGCGGGTTCGAATCCCGCACGGAACAAATATTAGTATGGCTTACAAATAATTGCTCCGGGTCTGGATGTTTGTTCTCGTGCAATCTATGTTTGTAAACTGCCTCCACGAATACAGGAGAAAATCCTAGTGTTGGGGTAACGTTTTCTTAAAAAAAATCTGTATGCTTGCTATGCTACTCTGGTTTGCAGCTTAACATAAAATATTTTCATTCTTCATTTCTTTAAAGAATTGCCAGTCCTAGACCGTTTAGGTAGAAATGTAGGTTTTAAGCCCATCACTGGAAAAGGTGCTGCACATCCTGATCGGTCGGATTTACTGTTGGCATATTATTTGAATAGTTAATATTAGTCAAAGCCGGTATAGTCACTTTCCACACTAACCTAAATTTATACTTTTTTATTCAATAAGGATGACAAACAAACAAAAATCATCTAAGGGTAAGTGGATTTTATGGCCCATAGAGATCTAAATGTATATTCGATTAAGAATCAAAATGCAGATGCGTTGTTACCCCTGAGGACTAAGATGAAATGCCTCATTTCCAGTAAAAGGGTCTCCATTTCTAAACACACAGCATACTAAGCACAGCAGCATTAAGCGGCTATTTTACGCTGGTATTCTGTTTCTGTGAAAGCGTGGTCCTCTCCCGGGCTAGCTGACCTATTCATGTTACAACACAATATACAAAATATACATGTAACATGATTCTACCATGTAAAAACTACTTAACTACAACTAGTTCTTCGTATTGAATTACTAGGTTGACTAAAATTTGGTTTAGAAACAGTAATTTCAAATATTAACTATAAATTT